TAAATATATCCCAATTTGCTTATTCATTTTTCTGTTGATGGATATTGGGGTTGTTTCTAGTTTGGGGTTTTAATGAATAGGACTTCCGTGTGTATTTTTGTACAAGTCTTTCTGGGTAACATTTTAATTTTTGTTTGGTATATACTTAGGAGTGGAATTTCTGGGTCATAGGGTAGATGAATGGTTAACTTGGTTGAACTGACACACACTTCTACAATGACCTTCGTGCCAAATCCTCCCCAATAATTAGTATCATGAGTCTTTAATTTTTTCATTCTAATGGGTGTGGAGTAGTGCTTACAGTGTTTTAGACTTGTGTTTCCCTAAAGACTGATGGGCTTGAGCTCCTTCCTTTTTCTGTGCACACGGGCCATTTGTATAAGTCCTCTTACAAAACATCTGCTCAGGTCTTTTGCCTGCTTTTAAGTTAGGTTTGTTTGCTATTTTTATTGTTAATATGTAGGCATTCTTTATGTATTCTGGATACAGATAGTTTATCAGATATATGGCTTAAAAGTATTTACCAGTCTGTAATTTTCTTAATGGTATCGTTGCATGAGCAGAAATTTTTTTATGAAGATCAATTGACCAGTTTCTTGGCCTTATATATTTGTAATAAATCTTGAACTTTGGTGATGTAATATCTCCACCTTCATTTTTCCTTTGTCAAGATTATTTTGGCAATTCTAAATCTCTTGCATTCCATGAACATTTTAGAATTGGCTTGCCAACTTCATATTTAAAGCCTGCTAGGATTTTGATTGGAATTATACTGAATCTACAGATCAGTTGAGAAGAATGAACAAATAACTTTAAAATATTGAGTCTTTTAATTGATGAACATGGTATAGCTCTCCATTTATTTCAGTCTTTGATTTCCCCCACCCTGTTTTATAGTGTTTTGCACAGAAGTCTTGCACATTTTTTGTCAGATTTATTTCTAAGTATTTGATACAGTTTTTCATGCTATTTTAAATGATATTTTTGACTTTCATTTTTCAATTGCATGTCACTAGTATATAGAAATGCACTGCTCTTCATAATTGATTGTACGTCTGTGGATTTGTTAGATCATTTGTACCAGTAGTTTTTTTTTTTAACTTTTATTTTTTTTTAATATTTATTTATTTATCTTTAGAGGGGAAGGAGAGAGGGAGAGAAACATCAATAATGTACGGTTGCCTCTCATGCATTCCCTGCTGGGAACTGGCCTGCAACCCAAGTATGTGCCCTGACTGGGAATCGAACCGCAATGTACCAGTAGTTTTAAAATAGATTCCACAGAGTGTTCCATGTATATAATCATGTCACATATACATATTTACATCTTACTTTTAAATAGTTTTGCCTTCAAATAAAATACTCAACAGATTGTCAGAGCAGCATGTTTGCCTTGCTCCTGACCTCAGAGGAGAAGGGTTTGCTGCTTCCTGTTGGTGTGCTGTTGGCTGGGGTTTTCATGGCGCCCTTCATCAGACCAGGGGGGTGCGGGGGGGGGGGGCACTCCCTCTCATTCCTGGGCTTTTTTGAGAATTTATCATGAGCGAACACTGAATTGGGTCAAACCCTTTTAATGCATCTATGGAAATGTTCATGTGATTGTCTCCTTTAGACTGATGGTTGATTTTCTACATCTTCTTTTCTATGATACGTGTTTAAAGCAGTAAGTTTCCTCCTGAGCACTGCTCTAGCTGCATTCCGGACTTTTATTTTGGATCGTCTTTATCATTCAGTTCAAAGCATTTTCTGGGTTCACTTGTGATTTGATTTTTATCCCATGGGTTGTTTAGGGGTAGTTTCCTTAATATTTAAATACAAGGCAGGGGGGAGGTTTCCATTTTCATCACGTGTGTTCTTTCATCGTGATGAAAACTTCCTTTTTACCTCCCGTCACACTCCTTGGCTTCAAGCCTGTCTAATAAAATCACACCAGCTTTCTCACGCAGGCACTTTCTATGCCTCATATTTAAAGTGAGTTTCTTGGAGAAGCCTGTAGTTGTGTTGTCTTTTTTTTATCTTGCCTGACGTTCTTTGTCTTTTAATTGAGCAGTTTGCCCATTTATATTTAATTGACTGCTAATATAGTTGGATTTCAGTCTGCCATCTAGGTATTTACGTTCTTTTTGTTCTGTCTAGCCTTTGTTCTTCTCTACCTCCTTTTTGCCTTCTTTTGAGTGAATCATTAATTTTTAGTATTTATTTTTATTCCCTCTTGATTTTTTTAAAGCAGTAACTCTTAGTAGTGGTGGTGATAGTAGTGCGTATGTGTTTTGGTCTTGTCTCTTTTTCTAAAAAAAAAGTGCTTAGAGCTTTGTAATTCAATATAATAGGCACTAGCCACATATAGCTGTTTAATTTTAACTAAGTAAGATGTGAAGAAAACTACATCCCTCACTACAGCACGGAGAGTGGATCGAAAGGATCCAGGAGTAGAAACCGGAAGGTAAATTAGGACATTGTCTCAGAAACCCTGGAGAATTTTTGTGAGATATTAGGAGAAATGGTGGGATTGAGAGATAACTGGGGCCGGAAATCAACTAGAGTGGCTAAAAATAGAATTTCTGATGAAAGAGACAGGAAGCCAGCGAGAAGGCCCTCAAGTAACTCATGAGGTCTCGGGCCAGCGAATGAATGGTGGTGCTGTGACCGGCGGGCACAGGTAACCATGTTCTCAGTGATGGCAGACAAAGAATTGAACCAAACACAGTTTATAGCAGAAAGAGAGACTGCAGGTTTATTAAGTGATAGTACACTCCACAGATCATGGGAGTGGGCCAACTCCGAGCAGAGACTGACCTCAGGGGCTGGAGGGACTCTATTCTCATATGGCAGATCCCTCCTGGCTAGTTTTGGCGGGCTTTTACTGTGCATATACAAGCAGTTGTATTACTTTAAAGCTACTGCACATGTGTCTCCCATGATTTTCCTCAATTGGTGACCAGGGAAGGGGGTCCCACATGGCAATTTATTATAATGCTACTATAATGAAGCAGGGGTCGTGTGGCATCTTCTGCCCAGGTGCATTCACGATTCACCATGGTTCAGCACTTTTCCAGAAAACAGGACAACCAGTCTTGGAACAGGGTCTCTGTCCCGTACGGACGTCCTTTATCTTAGCCCTGGGGCACCTCTGGAGTTTACTCCTCCTGCCTCAGTGCCATTATTTGAGGGCCAAGAGATTTGGGGGAAGAGGGAGCGTTTAATTTTAGTGACCTTGAGAGTCTGCAGTTTGCAGGAATTTCCAGGCAGAGAGAAGCAGTAGGCAGTTGGCTACCTGGGTCAGGAAGTTTGGAGAGCTGTAGAGAACAGAAAGTTGTCAGGGCTTTAATTCAAATATTAACGAACTAAAAGGTATATAAAATCATCATGGCGGTATCACAGAGTAAAAATATACAGACCACTTGAGATCACCAAGATTTCAGAGGAAGAGGAGAACCCGATGGAGCTTCCAGGTAGGGGAGAGGGAAAGAGGGGCAGTGTGTCACCGGACACCGGGGAAGAGGGTCATGAATGAACGGTGAAGGGTACTCCAGACAGGTTGTGTGTAAGTGATATTCAACAAATGTGGCTTAGGTCCATTTTTTTAAGAAGCAGCAAGATGCTTTGAAATTATTTAGTGATTTTATCTCCCGGGCTCCATTGCTTCCTTGCCTTTATCTTCGAGTGCTCGTTTCATCTTGCTGTGTACCAGGTACTCCCCTGGGCTGGGAGATACAGAGATGAAGGAAAGTTGGTTTCTGTCAGAGTCTTTCTGTAAATAGAAAGACATGCAAACGGATAATCCAAATACAAAAATAAAAGGGCCTGTAGGTAAAAAGAACTTGCAGGAAGTGCTGCAGGAGGCTAGAGGAAAGAACACCCAACTTGCCTGGCCTTCCTCCTGCTATTCTTTTTGCAGAGATTGCCCTTTGCTGCTTCCTCGCCGTATTACCTTCAAAACTCCTCTCAAATCTTTGACATGTCTGTTTTATTTAAATCTTAAGAAACGTGGTGATGTGTATTGGCCAACATATCTCTAAAGCAATCACTAAAAAAGAGAGGCAGAGAAGAAAGAGAAGCAAAACTGAAAAAAAATTTTTCATCATAAGAAATTCAAATAATAAAGAAAATATAAGGAAGATCACCTAGGATCCTGCCACCTAGAAATGATCACTACTGACACCAGGTCAGCATCATCCAGACACAGCCTTATAGGTTTAGGTATGTAAGCGGATAGAAAGAAATATTTTTACATAATTAGGATCATAGTGTATATGCTGTCTTAAATGTTAAGTGCTTCATTTCACTTTTAAAAGATAGACCACATAAAGGAGTTTTTACGAGAGAATAATTACTAAAAAATCCATCTAAGGTTAACAAAAAAATTACATAAAACATTGAAGCTTTGGTGATTTTATAAAGCTATAAATTTCTAAATGTTTTACTTTTTAACAGTTTGATATGGCTCTCTGTGAGCAATGAAGAAATTATCACCTTCCATTTTTTTTTCTCCTCCCCCCAGTGCTTCCCGGCTGTCAGTTATAATTACATCTTCACCATATAATACGTACCTACCTTTCTGTAACCTAATCCACGTATCTGTTTATCCTCTGCTCAGTATTTAAATGGGTTCTGTTCTCCCCATCATCTCTCATGCTGTGGTCTCTGGCTTCTCCATTCTTGTCCCTGTAGTCTTCTCTAGTGTCTGTCGGTCACCTTTATAACTTGAATGGCAATTTGGCTGGCCATAAACATGCTTTTTTTCCCCTTGAACTTTTGACATTTCTCCTCTGTCTCCTGGAATTGTTGTAAACTGTTTTTTTCCTTTTACCAGTACTGTTCCCCCCCCCCCCATTTTTGAATCAGGATGGCAGTTTTCAAAGAACACACACGAGTTCTGTGCCTCTTCATTCACCGCACTTGGGAGAACTGGTACTGGGAAGGACCACCACAGCTCTGACACTGGGATGTGAGCCAGGGCGTTGCAGAGCATTAACCACGCCTCCTTGGTTCCCTTACAGAGATCATTGATGACCTCGCCAACCTGGTGGATAAAACAGATGAGAAGCTTCGCACTGAAACCAGGCGCGTGAACTTGGTGGAGAGAAAGTCAGCATCTTGTGGTAAGAGAGCGGGAGTCAGGGCCTGCCCCTCGTGTGACTTGCGGTTCACTCTGCTGTGAGTTTCCCATGTTTGTCTCATGACCACAGGGGTTTGATTGCTCCTCTAAAACGGGTGGTCCCATTTGATGAAGCACTGACATTACTAAAAGGTAACTGAAATCCTGTTCAAATGAAATGGATTGTGTTGAGTTCAGGGAAAGGATAGCACATTCATTTTTTAAAATGCAAAGTAAGAAACCTTTCTGTATGTTTCTAGAGAAGAACAGTTGGGGAACTTGCGTGACTGTGCAGACTGGTGGCAGTAGAGTTCCTAGGGCTTAACGGCAGCCTCATTCACTGTCGCACCGTGGTTCTAACTCAGTCGCAGCCGGATTGTTGAAGGTAGAACTTGAGAGCAGCTAAGAGCCCAAGCTCAAGTGAGTTCAGATCCTACACTCAGCGATGTTATGTTTGGCGGTCACTTTACTTCTTACTTAATACTTTGTAAGTAAAGTGGGAATTCACATGGAGTAATTTTTAATGCTGATTCCCAGGCCCTCCCCTAGAGGGTCTGAGCAGGGTTAGGTTGGGGTTCAAGAATGTTCATTATCTGACAAGTACGCCAAGCAGTTCTGATGCAGATGCTTGCTGTTCTGCAGAAGTTCTGATGAGATTTTTGTGAGGTTTCAGTCGTGCTGCCTGTGTACAGCGCTTTGCCCAAAGGCAAGTGATGATACCATATTTTGCCGTATATAATGCTCTCCCGTGTATAATGCACACCCATGTTTTTGGACCAAACTTTCAGGAAAAAAATCTTTTGTTTTCATTTTTTAATTCAAAATCTTATTTATTTATATATAGAAACAAAACTGATGATCATATTCCAGGATATTATTTTGCACACAGATATCATTATATGCTTTCTAGAGTTACACTTTCAATGCATAAGCATAAATAAAAGAATTAAAAACATTTATGTAGATACAGAATTAGTACTGCCCATGTATAATATGCATCCTTATTTTTTCTTCAAAAATTTGGACAGAAAAGTGTATATCATACACGGCAAAATATGGCAAGTGGGGACTGTTGTAGAAATCACAGTGATTGTTATTTGGTGCTTCATCTCACGAAGGTGCACCAAGTTGATAAAGCTAGTACTTTTACTGTAAACAGAAATATAATACAATAAAAAACTAGTGATCTGAATGCATGGTTTGCCTCCCCTGTAGCCCTTTCAGTATGAAAAAGTGTAATGGCTCCCTCTGACCCATCCAGCTGTAGAACGGCGACTCCGTGCTGGGGTCACCTGGGACGTACTCGTTGAGTAGCATTGCCTTCCTTGCCCGAGTCCTGGTAAAACAGAAGACTAGAGCAGCAGGGTGAGAAAGAGCCAGGCAGGGCAGGACCCTGGGACCTCAGAGGAGGTGAAACTCTTAGGGGCCTCCTTGCTTCCCGTTTATCACCTGCTCTGCTGCCTGACCCCAGTTCTCATCCATCAGGTACCAGCCTGGTCTGTGCTTCTGTTCCCAGAGGCATGTGCTTCCTTCTTCTCGCCAGGAGCAAAGCCTCCTCGATTTCACCTTACAGCCTTCTCACACGACTTCTGTCCACTGGGCCTGTGTTCTCTACCTTTGATCCCGAAAGTTTGGAGACAGAGCAATGGGGGTTCATGTACACCTCCCTCTCTTACTAGCTTTGATTTGTGTATAAACTTAATCTTGCTGAGCCTAGTTTCCTCGGCTGTAAAAGAGTGGATAGCCAGGTTATCAAAGTTAGATTGTATAGAATATGTCAGGTGTCTCCTGCCACCCGTTTTCCCTGAACTTCCGTGTGTCTGTGGAGAGGCCCCAGAGCCTGCAGTCATACCCAGTGCCGCCACTTGCCAGCCCCATGGCTCCCCCGTGCCTCGGACCTCTCCTCTCTGAGATGGGGCGAGAGGACTGTTTAAGGCGTAAGTAGATTAATGTAGATAAAGAGATAGTTATAGATGATACCGACATAGATGCAGACATACAGATTTATAGCACTTACAACAGCATTCGGCACAGAGTAAGCGATGAGCAAGTATCAGCGATTGTCATTGTGTGCCTATAGCAGGAAGGCTCGTCCCCGGTCACTGGTAACATTCCTGAGGTCTTTCTTTATGTGCTAAGCAGTCATGTTGCCATTATTTTGGGATGCACACATTCACAGACACGTCAGTACGTGGTAAGTTTGCATGTGGCCGCCATTCACCACATGCCATCCACCATGTCACAGTGAGCAGTGTTACTAACACTGTCGCCAGTCCTTCATTTCACAGTATCACCTACTGTTGGTGTTTAGACCCAGAGAGCTCCGTAAACCTTCTGAGCTGAACTGCTTCATTTTTTTTTTAGTGGAAGAGATTTAGAGACTCCCAAAATTATTGAACTGCATATTTTTAAAAAACTTGGTATCTTAGAATATATCAACTGTAAAATTATCTCATGCCTCACTTATGTTTATTTATATGTGATACAGCAGTTCTAATAGGTATGTATTGTCTGTGGTACACATTACCTGCAACAGAATTACGTGTGGCGACTCGGAAGGGGAGGTGCGGCAGCACAACGGTGTTAGGTGCGGAAGAAGGGGTTTCTTTAGTCTCTCAGTGGGAGGACTTTGGAGACATTTGTTTCTCTTATCCCTTCAATTTTCCCTAATATTTACTTAGCAGTTCCAATAATATTGTAGATCAACTCAGAAATGACTATCCTCATACTGAGCATTTCTGATACCTGATACCACTAAAGTAAAATGTAACGCATTTATGTTTTTAAAGGGAAATCTGTGTTTGTTGACGAGCAGTGCTGGTCACACTGATGAAGGTTCAGCATGTGGCCTCGAAAGCTCTGGGGAGGTCAGACCTGTATCGACGACACCCACTGATTGCCTTCTGAGACTTCCATTGATCAATGTTAAGCCTTTGAACACAAAGCATATTATAGAATTTGCTGAGTAGGTCTAGCAGCCCTATGCAAACTTGGCTGGATTTTTTTATTTAAAAAATGTGTTTTATCGTGATAAAATATATGTACCATAAAATTTACCATTTGAACTGTTTTTTAGTGCTCAGCTCAATGACACTAAGCACAGGTACCTTGTTGTGCCACCATCACCACCATCCACGTCCAGAACTTGTTATCATCCCAGACTGAAACCCTGTCCCCATTAAATACTAACTCCCCACTCCCCTCCCAGCCGCCGCCAGTGCCATCCTCCTTTCTGCCTCTGCTGCAGGAACCTCATCTAAGTGGAGCCACGTCGTGTGCGCCCTTTTGCATCGGCCTCATTTCACTTAGCACAGTGCCTTCAGTATTCCTCTAAGTTGTAGCATGCATCATAATTTCCCTCCCTTTTTTTAAAGCTGAATATATTCCATCTTGTCCATTAGACAAAGTGACTCGGGCTCAGGGACACTATTGCTTCTCAGCATATTGCCTATTACGTAATGTTGTCCATTAGTCTCGAAATGTACATACTGCATTTTGTCCATTTCTCTGTCAGTGGTCTCCCGGGTTGTTTCCACCCATGAGTACTGTGAGTAATGCCCCATGAACATGAGTATACAAATATTGATACAAGTATACAAGTATCTGGGGGGCAGGGGCTTTGTCCAAGAGACTCAACACAGAGCTGTTCCCAAATGCAAGCCCAGGTCGATCATTTCATGTGTAAGCACACACACACTTACACACACACACACACACACACACACACACACACACACACACACAGGAAACTGCAGGCAAGGTATATTTTAACTCTTCGAGGGATGGGAATTAAGCAACTCATGCATGAGAAAGTCAGTTACTCTTCCTGGGCACTCGGACTGTTTAACTGGGAGCAGTTGAGTGGGCTGAGGATGGCAGCCAATGCATCATTTTACTTAAGGGAGAGCAAAAATGGGTTGTGAACCGTGAAATGGTCTTTTGTTTCCTTATTCTCAGCATATCTTCCTTGCTGATCTGATCTATCACTCATAGATGCTTTCACAGTGAGGAAATTTCTAGTTATAAGTACAGACCGAATTACAAGGGGGCCACTTGGAAGGGCCTGGTGATGAATTTGTTTGTTCGGTTGTTAACAAAGGATTCAAGCACCGCTTTGTGAACCTTTCACTCGGAGCCCAGGCTTTAAAATTTTTACTGAGATCTTTGCGTGGTTTTTAATCTCTTTTCTTCATCTATCCCTGCCTCAATGATCACATCAAGTACAAAACAGTATTGTCTTTTTCCAGCTTCTAAATGAAAACTAGACTGATATTTTCCGTCGGTACCTATACATATTTTCAGATCTGTTGCTTGTATTGAGGACATCTGTGTAAAGGCAGGATCTTTGTCATTGCAGTTTAAATAGTCAGTGTGCCTAGTTCTCATTAGAATTCAGAATAGAGCCCCATCTGAGTCTGAGGGACAGGGCCAATTGTGAAGGCCCAGACTACGAATTCTGAGTGACTCGGGCTGAGGGACACTATTGCTTCTCAGCATATTGACTATTACGTAATGTTGTCTAAGCACATTAGACAACATTAGCAAGGGTTTCAGTGCTGTAGTTAGAAATCAGCCCAGCTAACATTTGTATTAACATTCTCTCAGTCTGGAACCATTGGATTTGCCTTCAGCTCACAGTGGTCAACCAGCATGGGTGTGGAGCCACACAGACCAGGGCTGCAGCCAGAGCTCTACCACTGACAACTTGGGTTGGGCCACTTGCCCTAAGTCTCAGCTCCCTTCTCTGTAAAATGAGGGTGACAATTACTAGTACCTGTGGTGATTCTATGCAATAGCGAGAACAAGTTGGGTGGCATAGTGACTGGTTCTAGAGAGTCCTTAATAAAGGCCAGTTCTGGTCAAATGTGAGTTAAAATTGGTTGCCAAGAGCCACCTCAACCAATAGGACCCAGAGGCTCTGTTTGAAGCCAATATACTGGGACCTTGGGAACAATGGTGGCACGGTAAGTAAGTCATGCAGGCGTGGCCTGGAGCTGTGGAGTT